GTTGGTTTCATATACCCATTTGCATTGACTTTGTCAAGTGCACTAACATAGAGTTACGCCTTTCAACGCACATTGCATTTGGTAGTCAAGTGCTGCCATATGTGTGTCACAAATCTGTGTTCATTTTCTAAGCAAATGAATTGGGTCTACTCCAGGATGTCTTACACTGTAAATCCAAGCTAAGGAAGAAACATAATTATGGGGCTGAACAGTGGGGGGCTTGTCAAAAAAAAAAATGAACAGGAAAATTGTAGGCTCCCTGCAATTCTAGAACTTTCTAGTTACTTCGGTCGGACTGATTCGTTCTTTCTGGCTCAAGACTTCAAGGAAGTTAGAAGTGCGCGGCGCGTTAATATAATCGAGGTTGTCCGTTGTGTAAAAAGTGTGTGGTTCTCCTTATAAATTTCTATTTTTTTTCTATTTTAGATTAATTATTAACTAGTGGTAGAAAAAGTCAGAGTGTTTGAAAAAGTTAGTGTAAGTACGTGTTAGTAGAGGTAAAAGTGTTAGTTTAATTAATAAAAGTATGTCCTAAATGTTAGTATTGCCTACCTAGGGGTGCTGTGCCGGAGAATGGGACCTTTGTCCATCTCCAATACGAAGAGTTACCGGAGTGCAAATTGGAAAAAAGGTAACCTTTTTAACGATATTAGGGATGGCTTTTGAAAATGTACCCTAAATTTGGTGAAGTAAGACTAATCTTAACTTGAGCAGGCCAAGTGAGGCCTTTTCCGTTCGTCTAGATAGATCTAGGACCGCACAACTCTTTAATCGACGGTCAAATATCACGTGGACATTGTTGCCTTCCGGAAAATACATCCCTGAGCCAGAAATCGTCCCTGCGGGTGTTCCATTGGAGGCCACGGCAGATGAGGGATTCTCTCGAGCGGTAAGGTTCACTACATTTCTCCCAGTACGCCATTTTAGTGGCAGAACGACGGTCACTGTCACAGATCGGCCATTGTTTCGGTCACTCTGGGAGCTACACGTCGCTAGAACAAAGGCTGGGACCATCCATTGTGTCAGCCATTTTGGGGAGCCTTGCGTCCCCTGGATAAGGCCATTGTTTCGACCACTTTGGCTGGAAGTCACCACGGAAAGCGACCATTGAAATAGGCCATCACCTGAGGCCTCCCGGTTGACCGGATCAAAGGTTAGGTCGCCATTGAAGAGCAGTGGATCTACTACGGTGAAAACTTCATACAAAGTGGAAGTTTCCCACCCTCGCTTTCTTAACTCTTGCCGTGGTTTGAAAAGGTAAGGGCGGTGTAATTAGAAGGTTCGACCCTGGCCGACGAACCCTTTAATGTTCATCCAGTTCTTGATGGTTCTTCTTTATGCTGCGATAACAGTGTCAGACATAAACATAAAACGACCCTGGGAGCGTTCCTTTCCACGTTTGGACTAAGGGAAGTAAAAAAAAGGAGTAACAATGTTGCATATGTTAGGCCCCTCCTTGAGTACTGCAGTATAGTCTGGGCTCCATATCAAGATACTCATATACTTAAACCGCATTGAACCAGTTCAAAAACAGTTTCTATTATTTGCTCTAAGAAAGTCAGGCTGGACGAGTTTACCCTTACCATCTTATGAGTCTCGATGTATGTTGATCAATTTGGATGCCCTTGAAAAGCGAAGGCAGTTTGCAATGATAGCTTTTATAAACGATGTTGTAGCACAAAAAGTGAATGCCACAGAGATTTTAGAAAATCTAAATTTTTATGCTCCCACTCGTTGTGGAGCTGCATACAAGACAAGTCTTGAAGGGATGGTGGCTACCTTACATACATACATACATTATTTTCAGGCATGCTTTTTAAGGATTTCTTCCAATCTTTGCTGAAGGAGAAGAAGATGAAGCAATGGTTGACGAATCCAAATCATTTATACTTTGCAAAGAAGTCCATCCATCACCAAAAGAGCGATGTAATCGGAGAAAAATACAAAGTGTTTATAATGCGATACACTAGCGGGCTCTTAAGTGAGTTTTGTTACAAACAAAGAACATTTAATTATCGGCTCCGTAAAGCTACCGCGATTGAGCCTTAAAAATAAACGAACTAGATAAAAAAAAACTAGCGGACTGGTTAAGAAATGAACAGACGTTTAATGAAATTATCTCAAATGAAGGGAACCAAAAATTGTCACAGACGATTCATTTGTGTAGGATTTGAATTCGATCTAGGTGCTAGATTTGTTTGTGTTTCTAAACAAATCTAGCACCTAGATCGAATTCAAATCCTACACATCCTTCACTGTTGGGAATGACTTCGCCCGAATTGAATCTGGCAAATCGCATCTATACCCATGTGTATGTTTTACAGGTTTGCGTCCGTCTGTCGGTGGGTTCCTTATCTATTATAAATTATGATGAATTTTAATAAATAAATCAATATCAAATTATCACCATTTATTTTATTATGCTCCATGGAATTTCTCCACATTCTAGCAGTTATGTGACAAGTTATTGACTGAAATGAACGCTGATTGCTCAGCAGTTAAAACATTAGTTATTTTATTGGTAAATGTTGGATCATAGCAATCACTGGAACACTATATGAATGGTGCAATTGACAAGACCGGAGAACTTCGAGATTAGGGCGTAATTGCTTTTGTAAACAAACACTTCATTTGACGATTTCTCGAGAATTAAAGCTCAATCTCAAAAACTACCAACTCAAACAGGTAGATGAATGGTTCCCCTATCATTTGGTATAGTTTGTTCACGAGATTGTTCTTTTATTCGTGAGAAATCAGCGATTGACATGTTTGTTTACAAAAACAATTACGCCCAAATCTCAAAGTTCTCCGGAAGTATTGAGGCATGATACGTTAGACCTTGAATAAAGAAACATCTCTAGTATTTATCAAACTATCTTTCTATTCCGGAACCAATTTTCGGGCACATCAATTTGGCGACGAGGATCCAAGAATCAGAAGCGATGGCAGAACTTCAGGAAGCAATTCTCCAGATAGCAGCGCTCCTACAGAAGCTATCGGAACCAAATCAAGTCCATAACAACCCGGAGTAAACACTCGAGGCCTTGGCAACGAACACCAGCGAATTTTCGTTCGACCCGGAAAATTGAATCACCTTCGAGAAGTGGTACAGCCGGTACGCGGATCTTTTCGATTCGGAAGCCAAGAACCTGGAAGATGCCGCCAAGGTCCGATTGCTGCTGAGGAAGTTGGATACACCGTCACACACCCGGTACACCAACTACATCCTGCCGAAGCTTCCAAAAGACGTCAAATTTGCTGACACAGCGAAATCAGTGCCTGTAGCTGGTGAAATCTGAAGCAGAAGACAACATCAGCTACGTAGGCAAAGTCAACCGTGCTTGCGAGGATTTCGATTTCTAGAAAGTGAAGATTTACCAATTCAAATTCTTGGTGTTTGTCAGCAGTCTCAAAAGCCATTGCTATGCAGACATACGAGCCAGGCTACCCTCGTAACTTGATCGAACGACTATCAACGGCTCGTCAATCTCAAGGCGAACACATCCATGATCGAGCGTCAGTCAAGCTCGAAACCAACGGTGCACGCGGTTCAGGAGAAGAAGGGAACCTCTCGACAACAACAGTCTTCGAAGGTAAATCGCCTCGCACACCTTGTTGGCAATGCGGCCAGATGCACTATGTTCGGGATTGTCCACTCACAAATCATCAGTGCAAGCAGTGCAACCGTATCAGCCACAAGAAAGGCAACTGTGGCTGCTTCTCTCTTGCTTTGTAGCTGTGCCTTTACCGACTGAGCTAAGGGAGGTCCCCTTTGAGCGATGCTAAAATTACACGGTTGGAATCATTGGGTATCATCGAGCCTATCGATTTCTCTGAGTGGGCTGCTTTAATCGTGGCTGTGCGTAAACCAAACGGCCGGGTTCGTATCTGTGTGGACTATTCAGCAGGACTCAACGCGGCGTTAGAAGCTAATCACTACCCGCTTCCCACTCCGGAGGAAATTTGCGCCCAACTCAATGGCAGTTCCGTATTCAGCATCATCGACCTCTCCGATGCATACTTGCAGCTCGAGGTGGATGACGATTCAAAAAAGCTGCTCACCATCAATACGCATCGGGGTTTATTCCGGTTCAATCGCACCGGGAGCATTCCAAAGGCTGGTTGATGGAATGATTGCGGGAATACCTGGCGTCCGCTCGTTCATCGACGATGCCATAGTATTCGACCAGGACTTGTAGTTATGTAGTTTCTTCCAGCTGCAAATCCGTTACTTGGGACACATCGTGGACGATCATCGTGGCAGCAGACGCATCAAGCACTGGCATAGGTGCAGTAATCTTTCACTAGTTTCCAGATGGCATCATGAAGGTTGTGCAACACGCTTCGAGGACACTTGCACCCGCAGAACGTAATTATGGACTTACTGAAAAGGAAGGACTTGCGTTAGTCTATGCATTGACGAAGTTCAATAAGTATTTGTTCGCCATTACCACAAGCCATTGCTGTCTATTTTCGGTTCGAAAAAGAGCATTCCACTGCACACTGCGAACAGACTGCAACACTGGGCACTCACAATGCTCAATTACGACTTCGAAATTCAACATGTGTCCACCAACGACTTCGGATGTGCAGATTTGTTATCGCGGCTCATCGACCGAACCAATCCACCAGAGGAAGAATTTGTGATTGCAGCACTCACCATGGAAGAAGATTTGGTAAGCATCCTGGCAGACACAACGGAAAAAGTACCAGTTTCTTTCGCAGCACTTCGAAAGGCTACAGCAGCCAACTATTCAAACCGTTGCAAAGCATATCCATGATGGTTGGCCCAACAAAACTCTCTCCGATGCTGAAGTTCAACCCTACTACAACAGACGAGAATCGCTCAGTGTAATCGACAGCTGCGTGATGTTCGGCGATAGAGTCGTCGTTCCCAAATTGTTTCGACGAAGGATCCTGCAACAATTCTACCGTAGCCATCCACCGTAGCCATGGTTCGTATGAAAGCAATTGCAAGAAGCTTTGTATACTGGCCCGGTATGGATAACGAGATCGAGGAATTCGTCAAACGCTGCGCACCATGTTCCACAGCTGGTAAAGCTCCGACGAAAACGACACTAGAATCGTGGCCCATTCCAAGTAAACCCTGGTCCCGGATTCACATCAACTACGCAGGACCTGTAGATGGTGTCTACTTTTTGGTGGTGGTCGACCCGCACTCTAAGTGGCCTGAGGTACACGTAACCAAATCAACAACAGCGAAAGCCACCATCAAACTATTGAACCAGTCATTCGCTACGTTTGGTGTACCCGAGATAATCGTATCCGACAATGGCACTCAATTTTCAGGACACGAATTCCAAGTGTTCTGCACCAATCTCGGTATTCGGCACATCCGCACCCCACCTTACCATCCACAATCCAAAGGTTTGGCTGAAAGATTTGTGGACACCGTGAAAAGAAGCCTTCGGAAAATTCGTTCGGATGGAGTAGAAACGCTTGAGGAAGCGCTGCAAACATTCCTGCAAGTATATCGCTCAACTCCAACCAGCGATCTCGGCGGAAAATCCCCTGCTGAAATGATGTTCGGTAGGTCGATACGCACCGTCTCATCGCTGCTGCAGCCTAGCAAGCACACCACCACATCCAGAAACAGACAAAAGCAGAACGACGCTTTCAACAGGAAACACGGCGCATTTAAGAAGAGTTTCCAGCATGGCGATTTGGTGTATGCCAAGATTCATCAAGCTAATTCTTGGCAATGGGAACCAGCGACGGTCATCGAGAAGGTGGGAAACCTTACCTACAACGTTTTTCTCGGAGATAGGCATAGGTTGATCCAATCGCATTCTAACCAGCTGAAGATTCGAGTTCAAGAAACCAGTCCATCAGAACATTCGACGCCACTTTCGGTTTTCTTCGACGAGTTTGGATTGACCGTTCCAGCAGCAGCCATTCCTCCAAAAAAACCTGCAACAACACCGCGTTTAGAGGAACAACTTTTGGACGAATCAGAAATTCTGGAGTTAACGGATTCAGATTTCTCCAATCCAGCATTAGACGCCGAATCTGAAGGTATTGACGATCCAGAACCAACAGATGCAATTGAGGAGGCAGCCCATCCGGGAACTCCACTCTTGGAAAGATGACGGCATATGGTTCAACTTCCGGCCCGTTTCAAACCCGACTGGATGACAAAACCTTAGGGGGAAAATGTTGGATCATAGCAATCACTGGAACACTATATGAACGGTGCAATTGACAAGTATTGAGGCATGATACGTTAGATCTTGAATAAAGAAACATCTCTAGTATTTATCAAGCTATCATACTATTCCGGAACTACTTTCCGGACACATCAGTAAAGTGTACTGAGTGTGCATGAGATGTGGCACTCCGGATTCCACAAGTATGGTGCGGAAAGCTTGCACAACTTATGATTCAGATTCAATCCTAAGCTATTTGTCCTCAGTTACACGGTCATGATCCTAACGGATGAAAAATACATCTATAACACAATGAAGTAATTTCCCAATCGGGAACGGAAACGAATGAATTAAAACAGAAAGAGCAACGGATCAAAGATTCCCATGATACGATCAGTGATATCAGGCATAATGCAAAAGAGCCACGGTGGCCATTTGTTTCCTAAATAGGAGTCTTGGTCGAAATATTCGATTTCACCATACGCTATACTTCCGTTCTACGCATATCTGTCCCATGTTACTTTTGGACGTTTTTCACTTTTGTTCATAAAACAGTACTTTTTTAGGTAAAACGCTGTCCCGACTGGAGAGTTATAACATGTTATAACGGTTATCAAATAATTGCAACACAGAAACCACCATCAAGATAGCGCTATAACATGTTATAATTCTGTAGTCTGAATGTACTATAAGCTTTCGAATGCAAATAGAAAAACATGTTATTTGTTTTGGGCTTATTTAAAAACAACATCAAGTCTAATTGTCCCATGTTGAAATTCTACGCATAACTGTTCCACAAAAAGAATGTTTTACTGAATCTTTTATTAACGAATCGATTTGAGTGCACGAATAATTGAAACAGGGTTTATATGATCAAAAGAAACTCAATGAGTCATTTCGGAAAGTAGAAGCTTCATTTTATGATGAAAAATAGAAGTACAAGCGGGGATTCGGGAATTCATATTAAAACACCAGATTATAGTTCAGATTTCAAACTGTGCATTATTAGAGTAATAATAATCAGATAAGAAGCAGTGTAATGATCCTAAAATAAACCAAAGACAAAATAACATGATTTAAAATTGAATTGTATGTAGCAAAGATGTATAAACATCTTCCAATAATTGGTATGATTAAAAAAGTACGTATTATTGTATAAAACAACTCGAAGCAACGGAGTTAACAATGATAGCACTTTCTGTCACTTGATGTGTTCATTCATCTAGTTGATAGCTGCTTCCAAATTTTGTAGTTAAAATATGGTTCCTGTTGACTGATTCCAAATATCCGTTGTCGTATAGTCCTTTCGTAAATTTAGTCGTTAGAATATTCTCAATATACTACCGTGGATGCATTTGGTTGAATTTAATGAAATCCTTACTGTGTATGTTATTTCTTGAAATCATCGAAGTACACGATCGACAATCTTATTGTGTTCTACACAGAGCATTCATCATTTGTTTCTCAAGATGCCCATACTTATAGGCTTTATAGATGTAGCAAACGACGATTGCAGTAATGTCAACTCACTTATTGTTGGTTTCAGTTAATGATGCAAACCTATGCAAACTATCCACTTTCAAAACTTCGCGGAGAACTCAAGCAGGCTCATGTAAAGACAACCACAATCACAAGAGTAAAGACGTCAAACGCAACGTGACCATTGTGCAACATGGCAACATGGAAAGTAATAGTTCTTAGTGGGACTGATATGCGTAGAATTTCCTACTTCATAGTAAATTTCTCGGCATAACAGTCCCACTGAATTTTTTTCGTATAAAAATAGGCTTGATTAATTTAATTGAAGGTAATTTCTGTTTTCACTCAAACAAATTGATTCTGTTGAAATGTGAACAATGCACTAACTTATTTTAACTTATATTTCTTTCAATGAGCAGAAATGGTTCGAAACATTATTCGCGATTTTCTCAGATGTTGCTTTTAGAACATGTGACAGATATGCGTAGAACGGCAGTATAGAGGTATAGAAATAAGCGCAATTCTTGCAAAAATATCAAAGGTATAAGTAGCACTATTGAAAAGAAAACATATTGTTTTCAGAATATAAATATTCCAAGCACAGTTTTTGACGTAGGACTACGTCTTTGATTTCGATATGGGGGTACACTTTGTGAAAACCGAAAATGGAACATGTAACAAAATTATGAAAGATTTTGATCGTTAATAACTCAGCTGCCCCTGGACCAATTTCAATAATTTTATCACCAATATATAAGAAATATTTCTACGCATCTGTTAAATTTAAGACTTAATCATTTTTTAGATGTCGCTACTGAAAATTGCACGAATATGCAACTGTTGCTACCATAATTAAAATTATCACCGATTGTCTGCGAAAAGCGATTTTTCTAACACAGATTTCAAAGTTGAATTCCATCCGGTCTCACCAAACGGTGTTTATTCAATCACAGCGTGGTGAGTGGTGGTGTTCTCCAGAACACAACAAAAGGCTCCCCGCAACCAGTTAGCTATCAAGGCTGCCCACAACCGCTGATCGTATTTAGTTCCAATTATCGTGTGTGGTTATGTCCGGTCGTCGGCATCAGCAGCAGCAGTGCTTTCGGCGCGTGGCGTTGATAATTGTTCTCCAGTACACAACGAAAGCCTGTCGGCAAGCAGCGAGCTGCAGCCCAGATGAGCATCCATAGAAGGAGAGAGAAGCCGCACCGCTATTTATCGGAATCGTGAGTCGATGTGGGCCATCTATGTCAATCTCGTCATACTAAAGAGTATAAACAGAGAGAACCTCGCTCTAATTCCTATTCCTACACAAAACACAAGCTCCTGCTGCAGTTAACAAATAAGATTTATTATATAAGATTACGTAGTCCTACGTCACCATTGCGTACAACCCCATAGGACTGTCCCTTGTAGTTTTTCCACAGCTAAACTGTTATTACGGGTAAACAAACAAATTAAATTTGTCTAGCAACGGTGGTAACAATCTAACACTAAATATTTCTTAAGTATTTTTAAGTGTTTCCTGGTATCTTAGATATCAATAAGAACTTTATATGTACAAAGCGAGTAATACAAAGTTTAAAGTGGGATACCCCTAGTTGTAACTCTAGGCTTTCATTACATTGCCAAAGTTGTTTATAAATTGGATATCATTTCCAAAAAAAATATGGTCTCAATTACAATATAAATTTTCCACAACTGACTAGGACTGATATCGAAATGGAAATTTTCAGCCTAATAGATCATACTTACCAATTAAAAACGGACAAATATTTGAATAAAAATGTGCTGCTACTTGGAATGAAACTGTCTCCATTGTTAACGGAAGTTCAAACAACTGTTACTATTTTTTCCAATGCCGAACTGAACTCTTTTTGAAATTTTCGAAACTATGAACATAACCAACTTGCAAAGAACACTGGATTTAATTACAAAAGAAACGACTATTTGGTAGGAGAAATGGCTCTAATGTTGGCCTATGGATCTAAGATTGGGCCCATCGCTAAAAATCTGCTATTTATCAATTTTATCGTCATTGGGACGGTACTAATGGATATTTTTGGACGCTATTGAAAATTTAGTCGATTGCTGGATTTATGTATGGGCCCAAACTAGGGGCATATAGGCCGACATTACATCCATTTCCCCTATATTCTCCTTTTTTATTGTGATTTTCAATCATTTTGAATCCTTTAGATAATTTTCTTTTAAATTTTAAAAGTCTCTTGTAAATATATGTTTAGTCATTTCAGGGATATAATTATACAAATCTGAATATTTTTATTCAATTTCATCGAGAGTCTTTATTTACGTCCCATTTACTTGTTGCATCACAAAGATCTTTGACAAAATCACATTAACTGTAATTGTTATGTGCCCTGTATACGGGTTAAATAGTAAAAATATATACACAGTAAATATATGCAGCCTAAAAAAATAAAAATATCGAAACCATAAAACTTTAAACTGTGATGAAGAGGTTCGATAGATCCCAATCAACAGCTGAGCTTAGATGCTACTGGTAAATTTTCATGATAAACACTCAAATCCAGTAGAATTATTATCAGCCAAAAAAGTTGGTCGTGGACCAAATTTCGAGAAGCTCTAGCTTAAAATTATGATTCAGTTGGAGGCTGTACCTTTTCTACCACTCTGACTCCAACTCCTTATCCCCAAAAATGCGTCTTCCTCCGACTCCGACTCCACAGCCCTGATACTAATAAACTATAATTTATCTATATATAAACTCCAAAAACATAAAACTATTGCCGCGGATACACTTGTATGACAAACTCTGAACATGAGCATTATGTGTATAATAAATTATGAGCACATCCTAACACTATACATGGATGTGTTCATAATTTATTATACAAATATGCTCATGCTCATAGTTTGTCATACAAGTATATCCGCGGCATAAGTCATTCGAAAAACTATCCACCTACCTTCTCTTCTACTGCTCTCCCGATCACCTTGACCGCAGAAACTGTCCTCGTCGCAATTGCCGCGCCGCTTCCCGAATTATCTTGATCTCCAATTACCGAACACACCGTCGTTGATAGCACTGATTGTATAGAACCGGCTATCCAGAGCCAACAAACCAGAGCACTTTTTACGTTGATTCTCACACTCACCCTATCACAGGCCCCGCAGTACGCAAACACTTTGGATAAAGATCTATTTACAGCGAGCAACTGCTCGGCGGGCGGCAATTACATTGAATCATTAGTGATTTTTCCGCGCACCACTTTTCAACTTACACGCTTAATCTAAACACTGATAACGATTTAGCTTAGAGCACTCTCACAGACAAGCACACCGAAACACGCACCGACCGGCCGAGCACGTGTAGGAACACCCAAGGGAAAAAGGCGGGGACCTTAATATGTACTGGAATTTCGCTGATGCTGCTACTAGTTCTACTCTTTTCTTCTTTTTCGCAATAATTAAAATATTCGTCTAGCGAGAAAAGCGCGCACACACACACAAACGCACACCGTACACTTTGGCAGCAGGCAGGCGGTATCTACTGGGTGCCTACCACACTGCCGGTAATTCTGAGTTTGCACAGAAAATATTTACTCTAAAATTTACCATCAACTCTTATTTATTTATATTCTCGGTGCTGCAGAAACCAACTTTCAACGGGGAACTTGAATAAACTAGAGACTATAGTATTTTCCTTTGCGTTCTTCAACATTCGGCTTCATCTGCCTATACAACTCGGTAAATAAATAAATTCGATGGCGCACTCGTTTCAACTTGTATGATTACATCCTTTGTCGACGGGCGGGCGGTTTTGTGAATGCAGCAGCCGAAGAAATCCCCGCGCGATCTCATAAACAGTTAGTCACCGTCCCCGCCGAAGTGCACTCCACAACAAGCTACTACAGCCAGGTGCGTGAATGTTCCATCAATCAATTCGTGTCCTCAAATCCAAACCGGCAAGCACGTACTTCCACGGCAACCGAGAAGCGGGCGGCAGGCGGCGATGGGTGGTGGATGCTATTCTTGGAAGGACCAACACTCACACACACACACACTGCACCTAAAAAAACTAAAGTGGAGAGACAATCCTGACGCGACCCGGAACAAAAACGCGTTCACCTAGCGCGACGTCCACGGACAAAGTGAGGCTGCGAAGCCGAACCGTCGGGATCAGTTAGCAAGCAGCAGCATTCCGTCCGTTCGACACACCGGATGTTCGGAAAACATCGCATTCGCGCCTTGACCAGCTGGAAAATTTGTTGTTGATCTCACTCTCCCGACCCACCACTCTCGCTCGCCAGAAGTGGGTGATAGAACAGAAGAGTGCTGTGTGAGTTCTCGCAGGCTGCTGCGCGGCCAATGAAAATACCTCAAATTTGGATTTAGTTTACTCATAAATCGCGAAGTGCAGGAAATCAGCGATGAGAAATTTTGCCTCTCGAATATGAGAAAAGTAAAGATTGAATTCTCTCCGTTTATAGTACTACTCTTAGACTGAGAAAAATTTTCGTCCATTTTCCTTATTTTCCACAGGAGAACATGAGGCAAATTTACTCATCGCTAAGTTCCTGTAGTTTCTGCGATCGCGAGTAAACCAAACTCAAATTTGGGTCGTTCGTATTGCCCGTGCAGAGAAAGCGAGTGGGAGAGAGAAGGGCACTCGAGTAAAAAGCAAGCGTGGGAAACGTTGTTTACATTTTCCCATCACGAGCGACGACGGGGGACGATTGCTTCGATTGATGCTGATGTCGGCGAAATTGGTAATCAATGCTTGATGGCTATCATTTGGGATTAGAGCTAGCTGATTTGGTGTTTAATATTTTCATTTTGGCTACTGTTACTAGGCGGGATCAGACCGACCTTCCTGCAATGCCCTCGATTCCTGGTCTAGGCCACGGGGACAATTGAGGGTGGTCTCTCAAGGGTCATTTTTGATAAAACTGGTAAGCTCGATCATATGGCCTAACTTTAAATACATAGGGGAAATGGCTCTAATGTTGGCCTATGGATCTAAGATTGGGCTCACAGCTAAAAATCTGTTCTTTATCATTTTTATCTAGATGAGCGCGTCAATGGATATTTTTGGTCGCTACTGAAAATTTAGTCGATTGCTGAATTTATGTATAGGCCTAAATTAGGGGCATTTAGACCAACATTACATCCATTACCCCTATATGATTAATAATTTAAACTACCGCTACGCGCGCAGCAACTATCGGAATTCAGGATGGATTTTAATTTTGAATTCCTTAATTTTTCACTGTTCTTCAACATTAATCAACTTCAGTTAAATAGAGGATAACATGAAGGTTATAAGAGCATATTTCAATCAAGTACGGACTGAATTTCGATCTTACATGGTGGGAACTAGAACGTTGAACCTAAACGTCTACCGTACCGAGAATCGAATACATGTTCTGCCGTGCCTAGCCTAGGCAATTGAGAAGCTCTGTTCGTCCCATTACAAGCTCTAAACTATCATCTAAACATATTCTGTTTTCGCAAATAAGCTGTCATAACAACACCACCCGCTATAATCATCTCGAACAAGCGTAACTACTCGAGTCAAGCATCAAGCGCCTCCACATGCTGACCGTTCACCACCAAACCCACCCACCACCCATTATTCCCATCCGGGTTCCCACGGTCCACTAAACAACAGCTTCCACACTTCACGGCAACCTGTTGTACGTTGTTCGCGGTCGGATATTTTCTGGTTACGCACTTACTTCACCTGCTCTGCCCCATAGTTGCATTTGAACGTAGATAGAGCTATTGGAATCGCATCATGCTCGGTCGGTTGTTGAACGACTGAGAGGAAAAACATCGCCACAGACCCCCAAAGAATCAACAGATATCTGTTTTCGTACTGGCCCTGTCACTCGCGGTCGCAGCTCCAACCCGGCGTGAGTGAGTGTTCCATTCTCTCACTTGCTGATATGCTTGGCGAAAGAAAGACGTGTGCGGGTGCGGAGGCTGCGCATTGCGAGCTGTGGGTACATATAATCTGTTGTTGTTGAGTAGAGGTGAAGAATGCGCGAGAAGAGAGTGACCGCCGCCCTTCTCACGAGATCCGGATTTGCTGATAACAGCTTCAATTGCTTGATTCGGGGAAAATATAGGGCTGATCAACAATTCTTAACGACTAAAGTAACTAAATGCAACAGTGCAATGAGGGCTACAATCTTTCAATTCCATTAATATTTGTGAAATGATGGAGACGCTTGGTCGTTAACTTTTTTTTTTTTTTAGTTACTCATAATTCGACCTTTTCTATCCTTTCGGATCCTTCGAACTTTTGTCCTTTCAGAGCTATTTCCATCTATTAACGTCTCTTTAAACAAACCACCTTGAAGAGGTGCTTATAGTTCATTCAAGACGGCCAAATCGTAACCAGCACCAAGCCGATTAGCATCCCAGGTAGTGATAATCACGGCTTACTTAGAGTTGGCTATAACCTATTTTATTATTATTATTATTATTATTATTTCTTCATCAACAGGCTTCTTGGCCCCAATGATGGATAAGTTGTTGCCAATGAACTAAATTAATATACATTAAAACTACACATATGTTTCAAATTATCTAAAAACATTAAGAAATCTAGCCGTAGCAAGTCACGGAGAAACGTTAAAATCAAATTGACTGGCAACCCGGTTAAAAACTCTCTGTATCCTAGAAATGGCACTGTTCATTCCGTAATTGGTGCGGTGAGGTTGAGGTCGTAGCATCGCATTATTCCGTAGAGATCTTGGTCGCACATACAAGTTGACTCGTTGTAGGATTTCAGGACAATCAACTCGACCCAGCAAGACATCAGAAACCAGCATAGCCTCAGCAACGTCTCTTCGTGTACTAAGTGTACCCAGACGAATTAGCTGACATCGGTGCTCGTAGTTTGGGAGACGAAATGGATCCCGCCATGGTAGTCGACGAAGTGCGAATCGAACAAACCGCCGTTGCACTGATTCTATTCTCTCAATTCCATTTTGGTAGTGAGGGCTCCAGTCGAACAGTACTCCAATGCCGACCGAACTAATGCACAGTAGAGCGCCTTTAGACAGTAAATGTTCGTGAACTCCTTTGTTAACCGGAAGATAAAGGCTAGAGATTTTGAAGCTTTATTCACTACGAACGACACGTGCTGCTTGAAGGTCAACTGGGAGTCGAGGATAATTCCCAAGTCCTTGATTTCGTTCACTCTTACCAGTGGTACTCCAGAAAATGAATAATCGTGGAGTTTTGGATCTTTCAGTCGAGAAAACGTAATAACTGAGCATTTTGCAGGATTTACGGTCATACGATTCATCTGGTACCAATGAGCGAATGCATCAAGTTGTTGTTGTAGAAACTGAGCGTCAGCCTCAGAACGAATCTTGACATATAGCTTGAAGTCATCAGCAAACGAAAGCCTTGGTCCATCCAGCACTGCATTGACATCGTTGAAGCATAAAAGGAAGATGAGTGGTCCAAGATGAATTCCCTGCGGAATCCCTGACGTGATTGGAAATGAACCTGAAGTGGATTCGCCGATGACTACTTGCAAGCGACGACCGTTCAAGTAGGAATGGAACGAATCCAAAAGAGTTCCATGAATTCCAAGCTTTTCAAGCTTCGCTACAGCAATTTGATGGTTGACCTTATCGAATGCTGCGGATAAGTCCAAATATAGTACATCCGTTTGTGCTCGTTCAAGCATACTGTCGGTTACGTAAGAAGTGAGACATAAAAGGTTTGACGCGGTTGAACGACCGGGAATGAAACCATGCTGTTCTGGGCTTAAAAATTGCCTGCAATGAAAGAATAATTGGTCCATCACAACAAGCTCAAAGAGAGCTATTTGCTATGTCATCGTCATCACTGACACTAGCGACTTATAAACAATAGTGCATTCCATTAAAAATCATCATGTGTCTCACACTTAATTTTGTGCTTATTGTGAAACACATCCATATCATGTGTGAATCTTATGCTATGAATCATGCCTGAATACAATGGATTTGAATTGTGACACACTTGGATTCTATATGCCTCATTTGGTGATATCAATAGCTTTGCACATCATAGTTTAATATTCTACAATATTCTACTTTATCGACTTCAACTTAACGGACTCTAAAAATGAATCGACAAATATATCAACAAAACTGCCAGAGGGTAGAACTTTCACATATCTTTTTAATGGGTCTGATTTGGGACTCGATCATGGACTGTTGGGGTGTGCTGCTGCCGAAGTCTTCGTTCGATCTCACTGTGCCGCGGTTGTTCTAATATATGAGGCGGGTTGATAGGATAAAGTCACAAGTCTTGTTTTCGATGTTTACCTTTCTGAGCAAGCAATTCACATCGCATTGAAATGCAAAACACTTTAAATCCATCTGTTTTGAAAAGTAGTGTGGTTCAATGTGCAATACACTTGAACAGATAGTGAAAGATTTTCAACATTTCAAAGTTTGAAACACTATAAATTAACGTGTATAACACATTGAACCAAGGTGAAATACACTTAAAGTAAATGTGATTGTGCATTTAAAAAAAATCAAGTGTTTAAACACTTCGATCAAACGTGTGGAATTTTTTGAGTGTAGTGACGACGATGATCCCCCGTTCTTGTTCGCATTACTGACGGCAAATATCACCGCCAGCAACCCCACCGGGCACCGCGTGTAGGTAAGAATCGGAGTTCAGGTGCACAGAGGTCGCAAATCGCCGGTCAGAGCAGAACCCAACAACTATTGATAGGCGTTCTTATGCACCTGCATTACCCGGCCTTTCAGAGCTGGTGATGAGTCACAGTGGCAATAAGTTTGCTAGACAACATCCGGAAAGGGCAGAAATGACAGAGCTTCTGAACGGCCATAAAGTACATCGAGCAACT